ATTAATAAGAAAATACACTGGGAAATAAATAATATAAAAACCACCATATGAAACAATGTTCAATATAAAGACATTACTATGATATGGAATATACAAATAATGCATAAAAGTGAATGACAATATCACAAAATACCAGACATATATGTATTAGATAAAAAGAATAAAACTTGTTTATTATTTGATATAACTATTGTTGAATATCACAATATTAATTGAGCCTATTGGAAGAAAAGAAATAAGTATAATGAATTAAAGAATATTCTAATGAAAATAGAAAAGTTAAAATATGGCAAAATAATTCCAGTAGTAATTTCAATAAACGGATTAATGAATAATTCAAGTAATAAATTAATTAAAGAATTAAGAATTGAGATTGACATCAAGAAAGAAATTAAAAACCTTGTCATAAAGAACGTGGTGGATGTCATGGAATACTGCTTGTATCATAATCAAACATACTCCGTAGAAATACTAGAAGAAGAAGACGAATTGATGGTATTAGTCTCTCCTTTAGGCAGTAACAATAGAAACTAATTCTATTAATACTTAATTAATTGCTTATTTTATTGTCTTTCATTTCTTCTTTTATTACTTTTTTTTCTTCTTTCTTCTACTTTCTTATTTTATTCTTTATTCATCTTCTTCTACTTCTTACTTTTATTCTTTTATATTATTCATTCTCTTCTTTTTCATTTATTTGTTTTTTCGTTGACTAAAAACTACATTTCATTTTATGACTTTCAAAATATTTCAAATAACTCACTCATTTACTTATATATTTCTCTTTATCTTATTTGTTCTTCATTTCTTTGTTCATTTCTTTGTTCATTTCTTTGTTCATTTCTTTGTTGTTTCTAAAATTTTGAATTTCAAAAATAAAGACTAAGAAGATTGAACTGAAATAATCAACAAGTAACAAACAATAAGAGATTGATTTGAATAATACAAAGCAATCATCAATACATGAAGTTGATTGTATTGAATATCTAAATAAATCAAATAGAGATTATTTGAATAAAAGAATGATGAGAAAATAAAGCACAACATGAACTTCAGTCATTGAGTTATAAATACTGCAAATATTGATTTATTATAAAAATAAAAACTTAAATTAAACATCATCATTTTCTTTAAAATACATTAGAATATGGTGTATATCATATTATGATATTGTTTAACTCCAAATTTAAAAATAATATATAAGAATTCTATTAATACTTATTTTTATCTATTTAATTTAAATTCATATTCCATTTAACTTCTATTAAAACGAAGAAATACAAATCAATTTTAATATGAATTTAATAAAGTCATTTATTCTGGTAAACAACACTCCCATAAAGTTTCGTCAATAAATTGTTTAATATGTCCTATATTCAAAAATTTTACTAGATATGGAAATCTTCTTAAAAATGCAAGTACAACAAGAATAAAGTTGCTAAGATAATTAATAATATTATTCATTACATTTCAAATCCATTCTCTTTAATACCGATAATAAACAAAATCAAAGAGATTTAATAATACAATGAATGTAAATTTAAATAATATTATCAACCACCAAGAAAGAAAAATGCAAATGCTTGTTGAACACCCATCACATGGAAAATACCACAAATAAATAAAATATTTCCAGAAAGTAAAAGAAAATTTCTACAACAGTAATAACTGCCACTCTTTTTCTAGATACTAATAAATTGTTCATTCTATTATTTCTTTACTCAAATAAATTAAAAATAAATGACTTTATGAATCATTTAACATAGTTAAATAAAGACGTTTAAATTCTTTTTTGTTGTTTTATTAAAAAGATAACATAATACTAGAAGTATTAACATAATACCGTCTTTAATGTATTGTTTTATCTAATACAATTTAATTTGTATAAAAGACTTATTAAAACATCATTATGTAAAACAAAAAACAAAATAAATGCGTTTTTGAAAGAATTTTTTATAATTTTTTTTAATAAAATAAAACTATTTTAAAGAACTAAAAAATTATTAATGACCGAAATTACAGTAACATTGAAATATAATAATGATGTTATAGATGTTATGGCTGAAAATACAAAAGGATATTTAAATTCATTTAAAGTAACTTTAAAACATGAAACAAATACATATTCTGGTATATTAAGGTTATTTGGAAAAGTTACACCTCAAAGCATTACCAAGGTTTCGAAAATTATGTATTTAGGAGATTCTACAATTATTACTTTTCAGTTTCTTGATGGAAGACAAGAAGAAATTCGTTTAAGAAATGAAAATTTAATAAGTTCAAAACCACAAACAAAATTTGCGATATATAACACTGAAAAAATTAATGAAGAAGAAAAAAAAGAGGAAAATGATAGTACACAACAAACAACAAATAATGTTTCTATTCTTTCTTCTTCTTTAGAAAAAAGTGATGACTTATTACAACAAAAAGAACAAGAAATAAATGAAAATAATGATTTAGATTATTTATTGAATGAACTAAAAATACAAATAAATAAACTAAATAATAGTGTTAGTCAAAATACTTCTAGTTTAGTAGAATTAAAAGAAAATCATATTAAAGATAAAACAAACATTGAAGAAGTTCAAATAAAACAAAATAATAAAATAAATGAATTAGAACAAAAAATGTTATTAAAATGTAATGAGTCATATTTTAATGAAAAATTAGATGCTATTAATGCTACAATTAAAGATCTTACAAATTCTATTAATCAAATCTCTCAAAACCAATCACAAAAATTATCTTCTTTTCAAGAAGATAATTTACATGAAATTCAAGTAATAGATAATAATAATAAAATTGAACAACAAAATAAAAATTATGAAGATTTAACTCATCAATTATCAGAAATTCAACAACATATCTCAAGTTTAGAATATGAATTTGATGATATTCAAGAAAATTTAAAAAAACAAATCAACTCATCTCAATTAATTAATGAATCAATTAAAACTGATAAAAAAGTTGAAGAAGAAAAAGATATTAATTTAACAAAACAAAACGAAAAGAAAGAAGAAGATTGTAGTCAAAAAAATCAATTTATTTTCGTCTTGTCAAATTTGGAACATTTAAATGAAAAATTAAATAGTGATATTTCTTCATTTAATTGTATTGATTTTTGGGAAGGAATTAAAAGAGAAATAATTCCTAATTATATTATTCTTATTGATGATCAATTAATTAAATTAAATAGAGATACAATTAAATCATTATATCCTACAATCCCAATTATTTGTGCAACTTCAAATCAAGAAGAAGAAGATGTGTCAATTCTTAAATATACATCACTTAATTCTTTATGTTCTTCTTTAATTGAAAAACTAACTTTATAAACAAAATAACATCTTCTCCTTTTTTAAAATAAAACTATAAAATATAATAAAATATTTTATTCTTAATAAGAAAAAAAGGTTTATTTGAAAATCTTAAAAAAACACATTAATGTCTCGTCCTGTTCAACTTAAATTCGAAGATGAATATTGTGTTGGACATTTTGAAGATAATGAAAAAAAACCAAAAGGGGTAACTGAAGTTATCCAACAACACCGTAAAACTGATAATGTAGAACGAAAGAAAAATCACGTTTGGTCTACTGAGGAAACTTATCAATTCTATCAAGCTCTAAAAATCTTTGGAACAGATTTTGAAAAAATCCAAAAACGACTTGGTGATCATATCACACGAAGAGACGTTTCTGTAAAATTTAAACGTGAAAGTAGAGAAAATAGTGGAATGATTATGAGTGCTATGGGAGGTAAAACAAATGTAAGATTGAGTGGAATACTTTCTCGTGTAAAAGCTGCAAATAAATCTTCTTCACCAAATATACAAACTAGAACATGCCAAGTTACCCCTATTAGTTCGAAAAATGTTTCTGAACAAGAAAATACATCATCTGTTTATGAGAATGATTTTTGATTGAAACTAAGTAATTATTATACAATTTATTTCATATACAATTTCAAATACATAAAATTTTTAAGAAATGAAAATTGATTAAGAAAGAATTATTGTACAAATTTTGATTCAAAAATTTGTTATAAGATAAAGAATAGTATTAAAGTTGATTATTGTGGTTATCATAAGAAAATAATAAATTTAATAAAAAACAATTATATTTATAATAATTTCAGAAAAAGGGTTTAAATAGTTTAAATAAAATTATAGTTTAATAAAAATTACTAAAAACAAAAAAAGAACAAGAAATTGGATTGTCAGATTCATGCCACCCAAGGACGCTAAAGGAAAAGGAGCTGCTTCAGGAAAGAAAGGTGCTTTGACTAAACCAAAAAAATCATCAGGAGGAAAAGCTCCAAAGAAATCATGGTCCAAAACTAAAGTCAAGGAAAAGTTAAACAATGCTGTTTTATTTGATAAAGCTACCCTTGATAAATGTACTAAGGAAGTTCCATCAATGAAAGTTATTACACCAGCTGTTGTTGCTGATAGAATGAAAATTACTTGTTCCCTTGCTAAAATTCTTCTTAAAGACCTTGAAAAGAAAGAATTAATTGTTCCAGTTAAAGTTGATAATCACATTTGGATCTATACTAGATCAGCTAAACACGCTGCTGCTGCTCCAACTGAAGCTGAAAAGAAACCAGCTAAAGGTTCAAAGAAACAAGTTAAAGCTTAATTTTTAGTAAATTAAAGGTGATATTTTTTATTGTTTTAACATTTTTTTTTATCATAAAAAGAATTATTTTGATGTTCAATGAAAATAAGAAAGAAATGAATTAAATTACTGCTAATTTTAAAAAATGTCTTTGTATTTTTTATATGATAATATTATCTACCAGTTTATATGTCAATTCATTAAATTATTTGAATTAATTGTATTAATACTTAATAATTATTCAATATCTACACTAAGAAAATCTAAAATAAATAATATTACATTTAAAGAAAGTCAATTTTATAGTAAAATTTTGTATTTACAAGAATAAACTAGAATGATTCAATTTAAAGTTATTTATAACAGTAATTCACAGCAAGTAGAACAAAGGTATATTATAAATTTTTTATGTAGAAAACAACATGTTACACTCCTTTTTAAAACTACAAATAATAAGTTATTTGGATATTGTAATGATCTTAATTGGTGTATATTTGTATCACATAATAATGAAGTAAGTAAACTAACCAAAAAGTTTTGTAATAGAAGTGGAGAAGGGGATAATATAACTTTTTCTTTCTACTTTGAAGAAAGAAATGTATATCTTATAGACACTGAAAGCTCCTTTTTAATTTATATCTAATTTAATACAAGTGAATCTAAGATTAATACAAAAATTTCGTTAATGTTTAAAATGCAACGAATGGTGTGTTTGGTTCAAACAAGAAGAAATTTGTTTTAAGATGTTTTAAGATAATAGAAGGGTTTAATAAGAAATTGACTTTATTTTTAAGAATAAAAAAGAAATAAAAATTACTTAAAAAAATAAAACGATATGACTATGCATAGTAATCACAAAAATAATCCATTAGCTATCTTTGGAGAACAAAAAGGATTAACATTAGTATCAGAAAAAAATGAATATAAAGTTGATGATATTGTTGGATTTGGAACTTTTGGAATTGTTGTTGTTGCAAAAGATTCTAAAGGAGAAATAGTTGCATTAAAACGTGTTGTTCAAGACCATCATTATAAAGTTTGTTATAAATAGTAATTCTGTTCTTAAAGAAAAAAACAATAAAAAAGTAATTAAAATAGAATAGAGAATTACCTATTATGGAATTATTACATCATGTCAATGTATTGGAATTAAAAGACTCATTTTTCTCAAAAATACCAAATAATAAAGATGATTATATTTTAAATATTGTTATGGATTATATGCCTTATAATTTATATCAAGTAATTTCTGAAAAGAAATTAGAAAATATACAAATCAAATCATTTTCGTTTCAACTTATTCGGTCATTAACTTATATTCATTCATTGGGAATATGCCACAGAGATATTAAACCTCAAAATGTATTGATTGACTTAGACAATAATACTTTAAAATTATGTGATTTTGGAAGTGCAAAACAACTTGACCCTAAAGGATCTAGTATAAGTTATATTTGTTCTCGGTATTATAGAGCACCTGAACTAATATTTGATTGTACACATTATTCTACTGCTGTTGATATCTGGGCATTTGGTTGTGTTGTTGCAGAAATGGTAATGAGAAAGCCATTGTTTAGAGGTGATAATAGTACTGATCAATTAAAAAAAATTATGAAAGTATTAGGTAATCCATCAGCAGAACAAATTTATGCTATGAACAGAAATACTTCTGTATTTAGAACACCTCAAGTAACTGGTATTGGAATAGATTCTGTATTATCTGTTTATTCATACCCTCAAGGATTAATTGAATTACTTAACTCCGTACTCAAATATAATCCTTATCAAAGACCAACAGGAATTCAGTTAATGGGACATCCTTTTCATGCAGAAGCAAGAGTTGGTATTACTTTTACTGAAAGTGAATTAAAAGAAGCACAATCAAAAAAAGTTCTTTTAAATTAAATTTACTGATTTTTAATTCAATTTAATTTTTTATGTGTATGAATTATTTAGTAAGGAATTATAAAAAATCCACAATGAGTATGTTCATTGTATTGGTCTGGATATAATTTTGTTCTTAATATTTCTCCTTTTCTTGTTACGTCAATTTCAATTCCATTTGTGCCACTATATTGGTTAGTAATTTCTGCTATTTTTTGTAGTGGCATATCACCAGATTTTAGTTTATATCCACCAAAAGCTATAATAATATCTCCTTCTTGTAAACCAGCTTTTTCTGCTGGAGAATCACAATCAATTTTTTTAATAATAGCTAGTGGTTGAACATCGTATGTTATTTTTTCTCCTTGTTGGTTATTTTGTTCATAACGTAACGCTTCTTCATGAATTTGATATAGTGATTGAGTTAGGTCATTCATTAAGTTTTTATAGTCTGTTTCAAGACAATTAAATTCATGCTTAATCTTTCTTAAAGATATAATCATCTCACTATCTGGATTTGGATATCCTTCTTCATCTACTTCTTTGAAGTCTTTGATTCCTGGAGAGTTTAAATATTTTGTTAATTCCTCAAGTCTTTTTTCCATTCTTACACGTTCTTTTTGTAATTCTTTGATGTGTTCCATCTGTGTATTTTATTACTGAATTTTGTTGTTTAACTAAATTCTTTTTCTTAGTTTATTTCGATATATATAACAATATTTTATAATTAAACAAAAAAAAAACAAAATAAAAAAAAAGCAAAGATTCAATAAATAACAAAAAATAATTTTGAATGGTTAAAACAAGGAAAAATTAAGAAGAGAAAACAATTTAAAATAAAGAACAAAAATAAGAAATATTAATGATTAGTAATTTTTGTTAAATACCAATCCCAATAACTTTGATGAGCAAGGTCTAAGCGATCACGTAATTCTAAAACTAATTCAACACACTTTGGAGAAGACTTAAAAATATTGACATAAGCCATTTTTGCATAAACACAAAATTGACGTTCAGTAATCATTCTTTCAACAAAAGATTCACATTCACGTTTAAATTCAATATTTTGACTATTTTCATATAAACCAGTTAAATAAGTCCATACAGATTCATTATTAGATGATTGGTGTAATGATTTTTCAATAACATTAAACTCTCCTTTTAATTGGTTTAAGTCATTTAATAAATTTAATGACTTGAGAGTATAAAATCTATGACTCCAAGCAGAGTTATTTCTAATATCTTTTTCAATCATTTTTTGGGTATATGCTAATTCACCAACCCAACAATTAAATTTATTACATACCCAAACTCTATGACTCCAACAATGATAGTTTTTATTATCATCTTCAAGCATTTTATCAGTAAAATCCAACTCTTTAAGATAATTACCAGTCAATCCAACAAGATATTGTCTATGACCCCAAACTTGATAGTTTTTACAAACACTATCTCCTAAGTCTTCAATAAATTCATACTCTTTATTTACATCAAAAGTTCCTTCCATTTTTTTTAATATTCTCCTTCTATAATACCATGCACTATAATCTGCACTATTCATTTCAATCACTTTACCTGTAATTTCTAACGCTCTCTCTGATAGTTCTCCTTTAGCCATTAATGCTCTATAATATCCCATTACTTCTTTAAAAATTTTTGAATAGTTAATGGAACATACTGGTGGAGTTGTACAATAAATTGGTTCAATGTCAGAATATTTTGTTGAATCAAATGTGATTTCTTCGTCTTCTTCCATTAATGAATTGTTTTTATTATTTTTATAGTTCTTTTATTATGATAAAAAGATGATAGAACTAACAAATAGAAATTTTATTGTATTTATTATAAGATGTTTCACTTTAGATTTAAAGTTGGTATATCAAAAACATCATACAAACCCTAAAACAAATTCAAGTCTTGAATTATCAGTTATTATCTGGTTATGATGTTGTCTTTGAATAGAAAATGTATTATTCACTGTTGTAAAGAATGTAGTGAATTATTCTGATGGGAAATTAATTATTATAATAGAAGAATTAGTATTTATTAATATGAAACTAGAAATAAGTATGGAATACTAACAAAAGAAAAAGATATAAATGATGATATTAATAATAAATGAAATTAGATATAATAGAATAATAATGAAATATTCATTATAAAATAAGAAAGAAAGAAGAAATTTATTAAAATTAAATAATCATCAAAGAAGAAATACTTAGAAAGAGGAATGAAAAAAAAAACAATAATATAATAGTAATAAAACAATGAATAAATGACAATTTTATTAACATTTAATTATCATCTTTTTATTATTATTTTGTTTTATCATTTTTTTTTTATTTTCTTTATTTCCTATTTTATTGGTTTGTTAAAAACTATAAAATTGAAAATAAAGTTTATTTTCATTTTAAATAAAACAATAGTCTTTTCTTTAAAAGTCATTTTAGTCAAGTTATTTATTTATTAAATACTTTCAAAATTATTTATTGGGATATATCTTAATAGGTATGCTCTTTTTGATTAAATAATGCTCTAGTGCATTTTGTCTTTGTGTTTATTGATAAAGTAGGTAAGTTTAGGTAATATTTTGTTTTTTATAGCAATACAAAGGCAATGTAAATTTTGTTAATTAGATCAAATTAATAATCTTCAAAGATATTTTATTATTTAATATAACTTAACTTCTTTTAATTAACAACCTTTATGACTCATTCCCTCATTATCATTAACTTATTTTAATAAAAGAATAATAATAAATTTAAAAAAATATTGAATAAAAGCAACAAGGCTATGTAAATTGATAGTCTAAACCATCTTCTTTATAAATGTAAAAGATAAATGTTCTTACATAACAGAACATCCAATTTTCTTATAAAACTTTTTACCATCCCTTTGTTTTTTTGATGACTTTTTAGTAATTGATTCATGTTCTTCAAGCCTCTTTTTTTCTTCATCTTCTTTCGTTTTTGTATCAATAATGTCTTTCATTATAATTTGATATAACTCATTGATATTTGATTTCTTTTTAGCACTTGTCTCAATAAATGAAATACCCCATAAACAAGCCAATTCTTCAGCCTGTTCTTTTGATACAATACGTTCACTTTCTAAATCACTTTTATTACCAACTAAACAAATAGGGATATGTTGACTAGGATCTTTGTCAAGAACTCGATAAATACGTTCTCTAATTTCATTAGCTTCTAAGAAAGTATTTAATGATGTTATAGAATAAACAATTGCAAATCCATCACCACTTCTAATGTATGTATCTTTTAAAGCATCAAATTCTTCTTGACCAGCAGTGTCTAATATTTCTATTGGATAATTATCATCTCCAATAGTAATAGAAGTTCTAAATGAATCTTCAATAGTAGGATTATAATCACTAGCAAAGTAATGTGAAACATATTGTAATGTAATTGCAGATTTTCCAACTGCACCAGTTCCAAGCATAACAATTCTTTTTAAACTCATATTTTATTTGAATTAATGAAATAAATGTATTAGTTCATCGTTTTTATAGTGCAAATCAATATCTCAAACTTCACTCTGACTTTTTTCCAGAATTTCTATTTTAAGTTAATAATTTCTTCTTATGCTTTTTAATATCTTATTTTTAGTTATGTCATAAACTTCACCTTTTTTTTTTCTTTAAACATAAACAACAAAAAGAATATTATATTAAGTTTTTTGCTCCATATTAAATTTTTTTTTCATTATACAGTTTTTAATTAATTTCTTTTTTTATTTCTCGTTTGAACGTTTAGTTGTTTCTTTTTTATTCTTGTTTTCAAGCAATGAAATTATTTTAGTAAGTTGGCTTAATCAAGTCAGGTTCATAAATATACAAAGAAGTGGTGATAAGAATTAAGCCATTTTAATATAACTCTTTTATATGTTATTAGGGTTGTTAACAAGAACTTCTAAGTCTTTAACAACATTCTCTATAACTTCTCTGGACTTGGGATTATTTTCCCAGCACCTCATTATCAAAGCATACTCCTCATCTTTTATATTGTATTGAGGTAAATGTTTTCCTGACTCAATAAACTCTGCAACATCCCACGCAAACTTAAAACTTTGTTTTGGAAAAGGTTCTGACCAATTTAATACAGAGTACATTGTCATACCAAATGAATAAATGTCTGCTGGCATTTTATATTTTAATCTATTTAATATTTCAGGAGCCATATAAGAAGGTGTTCCAACTCCTTTGGTGAATGTCATGTTTGTCATTAATAAATTTACATTTCTTGATGACCCAAAATCAGTTAATTTAGCATTAATATTAACGTTATCATCCAGTGATAATACTAAAACATTGTCTGGTTTTATATCACGGTGTAGCATTTCATTTTCATGTAGATACTGAATCCCTTTTGAGGCATCTAATAAGATTTTCAATCTTAAATGATGTGATACATAGTTGCGACTCCTTTTCTCAATTAAATCACGAAGCGATCCATAGTATGCATATTCTGTTACTAAACAAATCTTATTTGGAATAAATATTGCACCATAAAAATGAATGATATAGTCACTTCTAAACTTATCCAACATAGTAGCTTCTTTTTCAAACTCAGTCAATGCCTTTTCAGAACTTTGTGACTCTTTTAATTTTTTTATAGCAACAACACGCCCTCTGTACGTTCCTTTAAAGACAACCCCAAATGAACCTTCACCTATTTTTTTTTCTTGAACCAACTCATCATAATCTAGTCTTGTAGTAATTTCTGTTTCGGTTCTAATAATAATACTACTAAAAGTTTCAATTCCTTCTTTCATATCAAAACTAATAAGAGACAATTTGTCTTTTATCTTTGTTGTGCACAATGGTTGAATAAAAATTTCAAATTCACACGCATACCCTCCATCAAGTATAACCAATGATGGTTGAATATCCAATAAATATTTGTCATTTGATTTTTTTAAAGTGACTTGGATTTTAATTTTATTAATTCCTTTATTACCAATACAAAACAAATCTCTTGATTCTTTACCTACTGGAAGCACTTCATTATCAAGGTCAAATCGAATAATGTTTTTATTTGTTACTAATGATGACTTTTCATTAATACTGGAGAAATGTAAATTACTATATTTCATCTTAAAAGCACAAATTTTTTCTGAATTTCTTTTTCTTATATTACGTTCTATTCTAATGAAAAGAATTAATGATATTATCGTAACAATAATTAACATTATAACAATACATGCTAAAACACATCCAACAATTATACCTGTCATTGACTTTTCTTCACAACTTAATCTGTTATCACTCAATTTGTATTTTCTAGAACATAAAACACAATGTTCATTCTCTTCCTTTAAACAATTTGAAACATTAGTATAATATGTACATGAAAACATTTTTCTTTCTGATGACCTGATAAATCCTTCTTTACATGAAGTACATGAATTATCTCCACTTGTTTTGCATGTTTTACATCCTGTTCCACATTTTATACATCTCCCATTAGAAAGGTATGTACCTTCTTCACATTTTATACAACCTTCTGTTGTGATATTAGTGCAATGAGTTAGACTAGTTGTTGACTCACACCAAAGCATATCAGGAGTCTTGAAATATCCACTAAAACATGAGGTACAAAAATCAGGATTTACACAACGACATCCTTCTGGACATACATCACACATTAATGAAGAATTTCGGTAATACCCTTCTTTACATTCTAAACAACTTTGAGTATTACCTACAATAAATCTATCACAATTCCCTGCTGACAAAATACAATCACCATTAATTGAATAATATCCTGATTTACATGAATTACACTGACTTAAGGATATACAAGAAGTACACTCTTCTTTACAAGTTCTACACGTTGAAGTAGTAGGATCAAGATAATATCCAATTTTACAACGAATACACCCAATTTCATTTCTTACCAAACAACTATTTTCTATCTCTGTCTTAATATTACTTTTCAATCCTACTGGATAATAACAATTTCCATTTATAACACTACCATCACACTTAACACATTCATTATCCTTCTTAACAAATGACCTAACACATTTTTCACAATTAGTCCCAATTTGTTTAGCACATTTAGAGATTACAGGTTCAATACATTCACCAGTATCACTTAAATAATAACTTTCACCACACATTGTACAAGTTGTTAAATTAACATCAATTCTTTCGCATATGTTAACCCCATTAACCGTTCTTAATTTACAAGTTTGGTTGGTTTTATATCTTTTTGTGATGTCACATGAAATACAAGTATTTGCACTTCCTTCACACTCTAAACATTCTTCACTACAAGGAGAACAAATACCTTCATTAATGTAATAATGAGACTCACACTCAACACATTCATTTCCAATATATTTTTTACAATTTGGTATTGATGAAACACATTGGACTGAGTCTAAATATCTATTTATATAATAGTATTTATCTGAGCATTTAAGAGGATATACTTTCTCTTTATATATTCTACATAAAGAAGTGCTACCAACTTCAAACTCATTAAGACATGATTTAATCTCTTTTGAAGAGACATCTTGGTAAAACCCTTCTTTAGTAAAGCAAACTTCTCTATTACATTGTACATAATTTGACTGTTCAATACAATTGTTAGAATTCAATAAATATCCATCTCTACAAAGAATACATTCTTCATAATTTAATTGTTGTTTACTTTTGTCACATGCATCAACTGGTGTATCTATATGTGAACATTTTGGTTTGTCTGTTATTAGAGAGTTACAATTTTCACTACATACAGTATCAATATTTTCTATTGGTGTAGTATCACAAACTTTTTGAACACACAAGCCTTGATAAAGTATATAAGAGTCTTCACATGAAATGCACTTACTACCAGAAACACATTTCATGCAATGTGATGGACATGCAACACAAAGATGAGAAGATGGGTTTAAGTAATACTTGTCTTTACATGCACCACACTTTGCAGATGTTGAGTCACAAAATTCACAACCAATATTATTCTCACATTTAATACATTTAGTTTGATTACTCGCTAAGTTAAATCCTCTTTGACATTTTAAGCAAATTCTAGTTTTATCAGAGCAGCTTTGACAATTTGAGTCAAGAGTAGAACAAGATTTACAAATACCATTTATGGGATAATAATTATTAATGCATGTAGTACATATTCCATTGGAAGTATTGCAATCATCTCCACAATTTTTTGAAGCACATGTTGAACATCCACTTCCATTTGGATAATATCCATATTCACAAACTAAACACGCATTAGAATCAGTAGAACATGTTTTGCAGTTTGATTTAGTATCACAAGATTTACAAATACCATTTATGGGATAATAATTATTAATACATGTAGTACATATTCCATTGGAAGTATTGCAATCATCTCCACAATTTTTTGAAGCACATGTTGAACATCCACTTCCATTTGGATAATATCCATATTCACAAACTAAACACGCATTAGAATCAGTAGAACATGTTTTGCAGTTTGATTTAGTATCACAAGAAACACATGAGTTGTCTTTAAGATAATAATTATTAATACAAGAGTTACACATTGAATTTGAAGAACATGTTTTGCAATAATCCAAACATTGTACACAAGAACCTTCATTATCTAAAGTAAAACCATCATCACACAAAGTGCAAATATTTTGTTCACACTTGATACAATTTAAATCACAAGATCCATAGACGCAACTCATTAGTATTAATAAAATAAACATAAGATACATGATAAAATGGAAAAAAGAAGTAAATTTTTAAGATGTAGAATATTTCTATTATTAAGTTATCAGAAGTTATTAGTGAATAAATCATTTTCTTAGGCAAATTTTACAGATAAATCAAAAAACAATAATTTCTTTCATAGTCAGCTTAATAATATGGTTCTATAAACAATAAAACTTTTATTTTCTATTTTTCATAATTATTTTTTGGTAAAAATATATTAATATATTAATAAAAAAGAATAACAATTAAAGTATTTGTGGGTGGCTTGTTTCTTCTTTTTCATCTTTTAAGGGTAGAGTTTCTGGGTTTTGTATGTCAATTAACTTTTCTTCAGTAGAGGAATTTGAATTTTGAACAATCTCTTGTGAATCAGATCCATCTTGTTGTAGGGAGAGTATTTCAATATCACCATTTTCAATGTCAATGTCTCGTTTAATTAATTTGCATAAAGTATCAAGGTATGAAGTAACGTCATCATTTCCCCAATTTTTAAATATTCTCTTTCTATTCATTTGCCCCATAATGAACATATGAGCGTCTGATGATTTAGTTCTAAAATGAACATTTAGTCTTCTCCATTTTAATGTATTTAATTGTTTTACAATACGATCATAAACTACACAACCGTCAATTCTTTCTTCAAAAACTTCACCTCTTTCATCTTGTAGTTGATAGTGTTTATTACACCCACTCATTATGTCATTGTACTGACTAGGAAAATCAAAACCATCTAATAAGAATTGGTCTTTAAGAAATTCTCGGTCATAAGGAATTGCCCTATCAATTGAAGCTGATACGTATGGTACTTGAAAAGAAAATCTAATATTTTGGATTAATGTAAGGTGTTTGAATTTGTTTAATGGAGCAATAACATCATTTTCAACCATTCTTAATAATAGTGGATATTCTTTTAAACAAGTTGGGTCGTATGGTGGAAATGGTTTGTCTTGGAGCTGTAACTCATTCATTGTTAAACCTTCAAAAACAACATCTGATATAACCCTATACATACTATCAAAACTTCCATTATTCAATGGTTTTTGAACTCCAAGATGAGGAGTTTCTAATGTCATGAAACTAAATGGAATCCAATTTAAATTATTAAAGATACCACGTTTAAATAAAATAGGTATTGCAAATCGAAGATATAACCCACCAAGAGAATGACCAATAAAATGAATTCTATACTTTTCATCTCCTCTCTTTTGTTGGTTACTTTTTAAACATCCACAGATTTCATTTGCTATACGCAAACCACCAACTTCAATACCGTCTAAGGTTTTTACTCTTTCACTATTACAACTACAATATCTCTAAACTTGTAAATTCTTATTGTCATTTATTATTATAACCAATAACATCTTATCTTTAACAACAAACCATTATATAATTTGTTTGTAATTCATTTTTTAATGCATTAGCAAATGGTGCCCAATGTTCTTTTGGATTTATAGATAGTGACAATAATCCATGAACAAAAAAGAAATAATCTATGGTTGGTTTTTTTTGTTCAATATTAGTGTCTTTAGGAATAGTTTCATTGTCAGACATTATAAACTATTACCTCAAGTTTTTCTGATAAGATCTCAATAATAGTTTGATATTTATAACATTACTTGTTTTGTTAAAATGAAATAATGAAGAAATGGGGAAAGAAAAATAAAAAACACCTGGAGATTTTGGAATGAAAAAGAAAAAGAGACAAAGAATAAATAGAAGGGGTGATAATAATGAGAACTTTAATTTAAACAATTGTTGGTGTTTAGAACCACCATGAATATAGGTATATTTCTTAAAAATATGTTTCTTGTTTGGTTATGCGTAATAGGCATTTGTTTGTTAAGTTATTTTGATCAAAAACTTTAAATAAGGAATAATAAAGTAGTACTAACATTAACTGGGTTATTACACTTTGTTAATAATAAGCCTGAGTCATTTAAAGTTGATGGACTACAAACAAACCCAACATTAGCAGTTGTATTAGTTGCAGTTGTATTATTAGTATGTGGATTAGTTACTGTATTAATTTCAGGATTTGGAATAGTGCGTTCAGTTCCATTTATTCCATTAATATTAGAAAATGGAGTTGTATGTTTAGTATGGTTTATTGTTATGTCTTGTTTAACTTTTTTTATGACTGGGGTTTTTGGATTAGTAACAAGTATTTTATCATTTATAACATCATCAGCTTTTGTTGTTATTATTGTTTTATGTAAGTTTAGAAATGTGAATAGTCATTCACAACATACAGAAGCTAATTAGTATTATATAATATTATAGTATTTAAACTAATCTTTGAAAATGAATAGAATTACATTAACACAATCCTTAAAATAAATTATAAATTAATATAACCATATTTTAATAATATTTAATGGAAAGAAATGAATTAAAATTCATTTTCTATTATTTTGCATCTGGTTTCAAACATGATTTAATTAATTTTATCCATTTTTTGTGATTATTCATGAATGTAATTGAATTGCATTGTTTTTCATTCAACCAAATATTAAGTACAATTTCTTTCGTAGTTTCAGTAACAAAACAATCAAATAATATTATGGCAATTTCTGCTTTAGCTTATCTTTTCTCTTTAAATAACATCATTATTTTGTTTTTTAATCCAATCCATCTTTTATATGTTTTCTTTCCTTCTTCAATCTCTGCTTCTCCTTGTTTTAAGATATTAAAATAAGCATTAGGATGGATTATTGAATTTTCTTTTGTTGATTCAAATAAACATGAAACATAAGTGTCTCTATCGCTTAAAGAATCTTGTAACATTTTACTTTCAAATTTTAACCATTTTAATCGTTCAGTTTCTCTCTACCTTTATAAAGTTGATTTATTTCTGTTTTAATTGATCCAAAGACAATGTTATAATGCTCTATAATAAATTTAACGGGTTGAGTTAACTTTTCTATATTAAATTATATTGTATCACTTGGATAAATAGAAGGAGAAATTACTTTGAATAAACTTTAAACATTCATTGAATTTTCTTTAAAACTATCTGTGATCAATATTAAAACTCTGAATATTTCTCAATAAATGCTAAATATGATTTATCCAAAATTTGTAAAATACTTTGAATATTAATGGTGTCTCTAGTTATTTATAATTTTCACAGAAGTTTATTTGGTAGTCCAGAGCAATATTTCTTTATGAAATTATAAAGAAGAAGAGCGTCTCTTCTATTACAATTAATAGCTTTACCACCATCAATCTTGTAAATTAATTCATCAAATTCTATTACGTTACAACTTAATTTAATACTATTTTCTGTTGATGAAGCGGTAACTTCTAATGCATCAAAGATATGATGAAGTACTTTTAGCATAAGTCTAATTTCATCTTAGTGAAGTTTAGTTGTTAATTTCATATCAATTCCAAAGACTTTTTTTGTTTTATAAAAATATTCATTTTGTGACAGTTTATTAGGTAAATTCATGTGTAACTTCTAATTTATTGAAGAAAAAGTTAAGTTCCAGTAATTTTGTTCTTTGAGTTGCTTTATAATCTTCACTGTTTTTTTTTTGTTTTTCATTAATTTTATAATTTTCTATATTTTTTGTATCATATTGTTCTACAAATACTTGTTCTTTGAATGATTTTGTAAACATTAAAATATTATTGAATAAAAGCATTATGCATTATACCTTATTGAGTGAATAATGAATAGAAGAAATGAACTGATGGTATGGCAGTTTTTTTGGTGGAAATCCAATAATTTATTCATATTTATAAGTTGCACAATTTGTTTCATTTAACTCACAATAACCAGACAACTTAATAAATATAAATTAACATTTTTAAGTCTTCAACGTTTTTAGTAAATTCATTTTTCATTCTTGTAAAGATAAGAAAATACTGAGATAATTAAATAAATGATATTTGTAACAATTTTCCTAATAGAAAGAGTCTTGTTTAGTGTTGAAATTCTACAATGAGATTCTTAAATTGACATGAATTTAAACATTGATGAAATTGGGCAAATGTCTTATCAAACTTAGAGCAATGATGATATACTTGATAAATTTGTGGTACTTATGACAGAAAGAAAAGTTTCAGGAGTTCAATGAGATAATTTACATAAAAATCTTGAATGTAATCTTCTGATTAATTCTATCCCACTAAAAATCAAATTAACGTCATCAACAGAAAATCAATAAAACTAAATGAGTGTCAAATCTAATCTTTTTTGCATATATTTGGATTAAAATAGTCATTCAGAAATGTTTGTAGTATCATCATTATTTTCATCAAGTATTATATTAAATTTCTCAATATCATGATTAAAATGATATTGGTAATTAATATATGTATTTAGAGAACTTTTTATAAAGCTATGATATCTAGAATATGAACTTATCATAAAACAAATAAAAATGACATACATTTCATTTTATATAATTTTCTAAGTTAATCCTTTTCTTTTCTCGGTTTATTTGTAATTTCTTCTTTTTGTTCATAAAGTTGAGAAGCTGTTTTAACATTAGATTTACTTTGAAAATTCATTTGTTTAACTTTTTCAATGATTTTATTATAATATTTAAATAAATTATCATATTCTATTCTATTGTTAATTAAATCTTTTGAATTTTCTAAACATTATTTCCATTTTTGCATTATTTGAATGAATTGTTCATTTCTATTTAATATTTCATAACTAAATAATAATATAATCATCATTGTGACTGTCATTCAAAATGTAAATTCTCCTCTATGTTTATGTTTTCCTTTTTTATTTGTTAAATTTTGAGTTACATTTTTAATAGTATTAGTCTGTTGATGATATTTATTCAGAGTATCATATAATCTGGTTAATGAAGAAATAAGTTTTATTCTTTCATTGACATATTCTCTTCTAATTTTAATATCATTGAATTATTGTTTTATTTCTGTAATATTAAAAGAAATAATATCTGCTTTTATCCTATTTTTTCTAATCTTTTTGAGTTAAAAAAAGTATTATGATGAGTAATATTTTACACATAAATAACTTGTTATTTTTTAGTTTCTTCTTGGATTTTGAAGTTCTTCTCTAAAAATAAATTATTTTTGTTTTTATATGAAAATTCTGAATTAAATAATTTTCATTTTTAATAACATATTTTACTTTATTTTATTTTCTAAAAATTCTATAAATAAATATTGTTATAAATAACATTTTAGATTTAAAACAAAATAAAAAGAACTAAAAATTAAAGAATAAGAAAATAACATGGAAGTAGATAATAGAATGAAAGCATACTTAGTGCTTCAAGGAAATTTGTTAATTGATGAGTCTGCTAGATTAGTAAATAGGAATTTAAAAGGAGAAATTAAACAAGTTAGTATAATTAAATTATTTGGATTATTATTTGAGCATTGTAAATATGAAAAGTCGTATTACGCGTTATTGTCATTTATACCAAGATCACCCCTCAATTCATACAGTTCATTTGTTAAAGAATTTGATGGATTAAAAAATAAATTAGGTGATTTGTATACTGATGATTCTCCATTGGTTCAATGCGTAACAAATATTTCAAGAATTATTACTATGAGAAAAAGGTTAATTGAAATATTACCAAAGATACCAAAATCAATTGATTATTTTGAACAAGCTAATATTCAACAAACTGAAGTTTACAACTCCCTTTTCTCTAGAACTACAGAATATGAACAAAAGAGAATTGAAGAGATTGATGATATGCAAAATATTTGTCTTGTTCCATTAAAAAGAAATGTATTAAATGAATTAGAGTTATTAAGAAACTTAGTTCAAAGTAGTGTTTTTCTTCAAAAGAGAGAATATAAAGAGCTTGGAAAGTTGTATGAGAGTTGTACTAAAATATTATTAGATTGGAAAGATTTAGTCTTAAGTGAATTAGAAGGTTGCAATGACTTAATTCCTGTTGCAATTAAAACATTTAATGAATATCCTTTCTTTAAAATGATTCGAAATTGGATTAATGCTCTTGGTGATTTAGCTAATATTCTTGGTAATTTCCATGTACAATCAAATTATTTCCATTCTATCATTGAAGACTACTTGAAAGATGGTACCATGTTTATGTATTTCCAAAAAACTGAAATTATTCAACCTATCCTTTGCGTACCAACACAAGCTCATATTGTATATGGAGATCTTGTATTTGATTATCTTACTCATCATCTTTCTTTTGAAGAAAAATTCTTTTATAAAGTACCAAACCATTCATTTAATGGTAATAACATTGCTTTTTATATTTATGTTAAGAAAGAAGAAGTATTTGTAATTATTGTCCAGTCAAATAAGTTTATTGAGAAAGATGACTCAGTCTTCAATTTCCTTGATAAACTAATGAATGACATGTTTTGTTTCAAGTCTATTTTTAATTAACTTGTTTATTTTTGGTTGAATCTTCTTAAGGATTAAATTATTCTTTATCTGATTTATTTTCTCTTCATTTATAATCATTTTAAATAATTAAATAACAGTGATGAATAGAATATCTAAAAATGAAAAACAATAAAAGAAATTAACTAAATACTAAATGTGTTACTCTCTAATACTCGTTACTGAGTGGAGATTAGTTACATACTAATGCTAATTAGTTTTATGGAGTATATTTGATTGGGAGAGAAATAGTATTGCATGATATACATCATATTCTAATGTATTTTAAAGAAAATGATGATGTTTAATTTAAGTTTTTATTTTTATAATAAATCAATATTTGCAGTATTTATAACTCAATGACTGAAGTTCATGTTGTGCTTTATTTTCTCATCATTCTTTTATTCAAATAATCTCTATTTGATTTATTTAGATATTCAATACAATCAACTTCATGTATTGATGATTGCTTTGTATTATTCAAATCAATCTCTTATTGTTTGTTACTTGTTGATTATTTCAGTTCAATCTTCTTAGTCTTTATTTTTGAAATTCAAAATTTTAGAAACAACAAAGAAATGAACAAAGAAATGAACAAAGAAATGAACAAAGAAATGAAGAACAAATAAGATAAAGAGAAATATATAAGTAAATGAGTGAGTTATTTGAAATATTTTGAAAGTCATAAAATGAAATGTAGTTTTTAGTCAACGAAAAAACAAATAAATGAAAAAGAAGAGAATGAATAATATAAAAGAATAAAAGTAAGAAGTAGAAGAAGATGAATAAAGAATAAAATAAGAAAGTAGAAGAAAGAAGAAAAAAAAGTAATAAAAGAAGAAATGAAAGCCAATAAAATAAGCAATTAATTAAGTATTAATAGAATTAGTTTCTATTGTTACTGCCTAAAGGAGAGACTAATACCATCAATTCGTCTTCTTCTTCTAGTATTTCTACGGAGTATGTTTGATTATGATACAAGCAGTATTCCATGACATCCACCACGTTCTTTATGACAAGGTTTTTAATTTCTTTCTTGATGTCAATCTCAATTCTTAATTCTTTAATTAATTTATTACTTGAATTATTCATTAATCCGTTTATTGAAATTACTACTGGAATTATTTTGCCATATTTTAACTTTTCTATTTTCATTAGAATATTCTTTAATTCATTATACTTATTTCTTTTCTTCCAATAGGCTCAATTAATATTGTGATATTCAACAATAGTTATATCAAATAATAAACAAGTTTTATTCTTTTTATCTAATACATATATGTCTGGTATTTTGTGATATTGTCATTCACTTTTATGCATTATTTGTATATTCCATATCATAGTAATGTCTTTATATTGAACATTGTTTCATATGGTGGTTTTTATATTATTTATTTCCAGTGTATTTTTCTTATTAATC